GATCCATCCCCAGCCAGAAACCTATTTGGCCCCCATGGGGGGGGGGGGTGCTGGACCAGCTTGGCACGCTCCGGCGAGCTAATCGGAAATGATGAGGAATGTCAAGTGACCTTTATTAGGCCTTCAAAGAACAGAACTACCATGTAAACAGATTCAACTTCCTTGTCAATGTCATACCAGGCAAGAAAACAGCTCGAAGCCTTTGCTGTATCCACAGATCGGTCACAGGCAAAAACACACAACTTGTCCCACAGTCCGCAACTGTGCTGGGAATTTCTGCTACCTTAAGCGTCCATCGGTTCTGACAGTCCCTAGCTCAGACTTTGGGTCCGGAGACAAGGAACTCCAGTGTGTGTCGGAACAGATGGGAATTGAAGGGCAAAACGAGTAAGCAGTCTTGGCGCAAACACCTCCGACAGACCAAAAGCTGCTTAAACCATCGTCTGTCCATTTCTCCAGATCCTTGCCCAGCAGTTCGGATCTGTGGTCGGCCTCCTGTTCCACTTCGGCCCGGGGGGGAACACTTAGGATTCCGCTCAATGCTTGAAAGTTTTGCTCCATGTACTGACCCCGAGGTGGGCCAGCATGCAGCCAGCGGTCACCTGAAAAAGTATTAAAAAGGAAACATTTAGGGAATCATCACACAGGTCTCAGAGGCCGATGTTTCCACTGCCAGCCATAACCAAGCGCAGGCCTTCCACTGCTTTAGTTATTGGGTGCTAGGACTGCTGGCATTCTAGCAACCAATGACGTCAGCCAGGGCCGCCTGCTACAACAATCTGGGCAGCTGTACAGCCACTCAAATCACTTGCACTAGCCACGATCGTGCCGCTCCCACCTCCCGTGGTTTTTGGGTCACCCACTTCTCTGGGGGGCCCAGGAACCACTGCACACAGTGTCAGGACGCGGAGAGTGGGAGCAGACCAGGGAACGTCTGTTCCTCGATCTGATCTGTGATCAATGAAGCGCTGTGCTCTCAATGCTTCAGCCGTCAGCTGAAGTAGTGTCTGGTGAACAGACAATCCGTCACATTCCTGTGCTTGATGGTCATATTGGAGGGCAGGGGAGACAGAGGTCTAATAGACGCCTGATGTTTCCATAGAGAGAACCTGTCACCACCAAATGCTGTCACATGGGGGCAGCATGGTGACAAACAGTGATAAATAGTGTGATGTACCTGGTTGGAACACACACCAGCAGCGGTGTGTTGTAGTGCAGCTGCTGGTGTGAATGCAGCCTAAAGTTATACAGACACAAACTGAGTGACCGATCTGTCTGAACCGCCATTTGGAAATTTGCTTAATGAAAATTTTATTTACCAGACCTCCCCAAATTTTAATTCACTAGCCCTGCCTTATACCACAACCCATCTTTCCAGCCCATCAGCATGGAGCCAGCTTTGTGGCCAATCAGGAAGCCGCGAGGTGGGTCATTACTCACCGCCCGGGCTTACTGGTTGGCTGGGAAACTGGCTTCCCGGCCAAGCAACATAGAGCTGGCTTCCCAGGCAATCAGGAAGCCAGGCGGTGGGTAATGACATACCGCCGGCTTCCTGATTGGCCGGGAAGCCTGCTCCATGCCAGCAGAAGCCCCGGTATCGGTGAGTACCGAAAGCAAAGTATCGGTACTCGATACCGGAAAGACGGCAATCGGTGCATCCCTATCCATCACAAACAAAAGTCAAAGAATCCACACAGTATCACATGACATTTAAGAATTCGGAGTAGTAAAGTCAGTCCTAACCTCCCTGCAGCGGTTCCTTATTTCGATGCGTCAGCGGTATCACAAGGAATTTGACTTCCGCCAGCAGCTCCCAGAAATGCAGTAAGCGGACCTTCCACACGCCGGGGCGCAGGGGGCGCGACAGAGGCGGCTTGTACTGTGTGAAATCTGCCTCCGACTCAACCGAGATGTCGTAGGAGGCAGCGATGATGTACGTTGGATCAATCCAGACTACGGTAACCGTCACATTCACTCCATGGCTCCATTTCTGAACGGCCACGGGCTCATCCATCGGACCGATCAGGCCTCCGAAATTACGGAAGATCCTCTCCTTGGGGTCCCATTCGGTGCCCACCTAGGACAGAATCACAGTATCAGCATTGAGCAATTACATAAGGCAACGTGGCGTTTGGTATGCAACCCCGAACACTCCCTAATTCTAGAGTTTTAGAGGAACAATGAAGGGCAGTGTATGGTTACTGGGATGCGTGTCAAGAGCAAAGAACCTTCACACATGTATGTGAAAGGGAAGGTGTGAGCTGTAGAACCAGTTTGTAACTGACAGCAAATATTCTCTGCTGCACAGATAACCCAAGCAGCATGCCATGTGTGGCCCTTTCTATCCAAGAAGCTTGTTGTAATTATGAAAAGGCATGAAGGTCAAAGTTTCGTTTAAGCTGAACTCCGGCGCAAACTGCTCAATACAGATCAGAGCGGTCTTGCATTTCTGTTCATCCAGTCCTGAGAATTAAACAGTCATGCCACTCATCACAGCCAGGTTGGCGACAGGACTTTTTTCTACTGTAGCAATACAGCTTGGTCACCTCTCTGCCACTAGCCTGCGGTTGGACAGTAAAAAAAAGCAGAAGCAGACTGATCGGGTCATCTCTCTGCTCTCTCTTCTCCTGTCCGCATGTTTCTTTTTTACACATGAATGCAGCATCCCTTAACTGGTCCCAAGTACATTCCTTCCTTCAAGTCTACTGCACAGAGAATTATAGGAGCCTAAAAAAAGTCAAATTCGGGTATTTACATTAGCTGGATTTAAAGGACAGTTCATTTTTTTAGTAAAGTACATCACTAGTTACAGAAAAAAACTCCGCTTGCAGACTGAAAGCTTTGCTGAAAATCGTATTATAGCACACAGGGTCCCGCCGTGGATCCTCTTCGCTCTGACATGTTTCACTCAATAGAGATACCATGACTAGGACGGTGTGCACCTGCAATTCTCTACTGCTGCTGTGAAGGACCAGTGATGATGGGCTATGGAAGTTTAAAGTATAGAACTACATTCAATGCAGTTTAAAAAAAAAAAAAAAATAATAATAATAATAATTATTATTATTATGTGCCTGGAGTTCAGCTTTACCACTCCAGAATTCTTTAATCTGCCAAATGGCGGCAGATTCATGTTGACATTTGAAAGAGTGACTGCAGAAGAAGCTACACAGCTAATGCATAGGAAGCATAACTCATGCCTTGTCACATGCTGCGTGTTCATGTGACAGGTCCTCTTTAGTGGGAAGCTCACCTCCACGCTCTGGATGCGATTAGCGGCTCCGGTCTGATCAATTATTCTGAAACTGCCTCGTGGAATCATCCAGAACTCCAGTGCTGAACTGGGATAAACCTTCTGGGTAACTAGATAGCCTTGGAAGTGGTCATCATAGAAGTAGACCTCAACAGCAGAGGGGAAACCATCTGAAGTGTAGCTGCAATGAAACGGAAGCGAGCATTGAAATTGTTCTGCCCAAGTCTCTGCTGTACAGTTAAAACAGCACTCCTGTTTATTATCTTTGTCACCTCTTTACATATGCACTGCTGCGCATCGGGTGCAGGCTACGCTGTGCATCAGATACAGGCTACGCTGTGCATCGGGCGCGGGCTACGCTGTGCATCGGGCGCGGGCTACGCTGTGCATCGGGCGCGGGCTACGCTGTGCATCGGGCGCGGGCTACGCTGTGCATCGGGCGCGGGCTACGCTGTGCATCGGGCGCGGGCTACGCTGTGCATCGGGCGCGGGCTACGCTGTGCATCGGGCGCGGGCTACGCTGTGCATCGGGCGCGGGCTACGCTGTGCATCGGGCGCGGGCTACGCTGTGCATCGGATATATAAGTCTTTTTGTTGCCTCCAAAAGACATCCAAAAACAGACTAGGCTCTACAGTAAATTTCAAACATCTGATACCGCCGATGGCCCTGGCTCTCAGCACACAATGCATCTCTGGCTCAGAAATACCTCCATGTCCAGAGACTCCAAAATCAGATCTGCACTGTGCCAGAAAAATGTCTTAGCAGCTTTGGAATGGCTGCCAAGTGGCCCTTGTCAAAGTTAGTTGGTCCCCATATAAAAAGAATTTCAGACATTTTTGTTAAAAGCAGAACACAGTTCCCCTGGTGCAAAAAAAAGAACCGGAACAATCAGTTACAGATGCACTAAAGTAAGATTTTTGTACTTTGTGTAAAATCTTTTTCTTGGAATCCAGTGAGGGGGCACAGGAATTCACATACAGTCGGGTTATACTTCCACCTACATGATGTTTGGACACTGACCAGCAGGAAAATTTAGAGCCAGGCTCCATATAACTTTTTCTCTACACAGCATGTCTCAGTTTTGTGGAAAAAGCAGCATCAAGGACAAGAGCAAAAACACAGAGGGGTAGGACCTCTGTCCCTCAATGGACTTCCCAGGAAAAAGAACAAAAAAAAAAAACCCCTATTATTGTTATTAGACAGAATTTCAATTACAGTCAGGACATTCAAAGCAGTCCAAATGAGGGGTGAAAAATAGTAAGCAGCCAACCTCCTAAGACACTAGCACAAAACTGAGGAATGCTGGGCGGAGGAGGGGTTACACAGAGGCTGGCTTCTACTGTTTGCCAGTGTCCAAACCTCCCGCAGATGGCAGTATAACCCAAATGCATCTGAATGCCTGTGTCCCTCAATGTAAGATAAAGAGCCTACTGTATATCGGCAATACCTGTACACCAGTGACGTGCGGTACCTCTTGTTCCGGGTGAGGCATTCCCCAGCCTCGCCCCCAGCACGTCCCGCCCCCCGCAATCCTGTCAGGTGAAGCCCGCCCCCAAGCTAGTGTAAAAGGAGGAGACAGGGAGGAGCCTCCCTGTCCCCCACTGCTGAGGCACTCCGTCCATGACAGGTTACACAGCGGGGAGGATTTCCCTGCTGTGTAACCTGTTAGATGCCGATCTGAATGGAGAAAAAGCTGTCAGCTTCAGACATGGAGCTGACAGCTTTTTCCTCCATAATTCCTGCCTCCCCTGACCGCACGTCCCTGCTGTACACTTACCTGCAGGATCTCTTTTTGTTCAGCTGCTCGGGATTTTGCAGCTCTCGCATGGCTAAACGTGTAAACGATGCATATGCAGTCATAGTGACGTCTGTAAGAGCTCCCTGTCCCTCCATACTGTGGTATACATTCTCCCAATAACCTTTGAGACCCAGAGTCCCGGGAGCTGGCTCTCCAAACAGGTGAGCATCCAAAATATCCAGGACCTCTTGATTCACTGCAGACTCAAACTTCCTGGCAAAAAAAGTTGGCCTTGAGAGCTGCTGGAAGAGGAGAAAAGCAAAGTGAGAAACAGAAAGTCATGTGTCATATTACTACAGGACGTATCATTTACAAAGGAATCCCCCGACTTAAGGTTCAAGAGGACAGCATTTGGGGAAGAAAAAAAAAAAACGTAGAACAAGGGGCATGACTGCAAATCAGCAGGTGGAATGTTCTAGAGCAGGAGAAGGCAACCTCGGCACTCCAGCTGTGGTGAAACTACAAATTCCTTCAAGCCTCTGGGAGTCCTTCCTGTGGCTGTCAGTTTTGCAATGCCTCATGGGACTTGTAGTTTCACCGCAGCAGGAGTGCCGAGGTTTCCTATCCCTTTCCTAGAGTAACTTCAGAAAGTTTTATCTTGCCAAAAGGGGCGATTAATTTCTTGATGCAAGTATCTCATGTTTAGCTCTTTGGTGGTTTTTAAGGATGTCATTTATTGGCTCCTGAGGGTTATGGAAGCTCCCCATTAAAAAAAGGGCTCTTTGTTAACCAGGAACATGACTTTAGATACTAAGGAACATTTGGACTCCAAGTTCCCTGATGCCCTCTGCAAAGAATGAACCCAAAAGCATTTTGCTCTGGCTGGGTAAGCAGCAAGTCATCTATTCCTCAACCTGACTGGGCGGAATGTAGGCGAGGCATCGGGTGGGGGGGTTGGTGTAGGGGGGCTTTGTAGCAGACCCCTAATGTCTCCCATAAAGGATACTTGTCACTACCCTGATGTTTTTCCATAAAGGGTTGTCTGCCCCCTTGTCATTGATTAAAGCAGAATGATGGCCTCCCAATTAAAAATGATTAAGTGCTGCAGCACATATTTTCAGGGGGCATGGCTATTAGAATTGCCAAATCCAATTCACAAGCCTGTAGCTGGTCATCAGCACCTGGCCACACCTAGTCCCGCCCACTGATTTCTGGATTGACAGCACTGCTTCTGTTGCTGAAACCCTCCCACTGTGAGCTGCAGTGTCCGGGAGGGGGAGTGTGAGATACAAATGAAGGAAGATTTGGCTCAGACAAGGGAGGTAAAGGAAGTTTACTGTTTACGAGGCTTGTACATCACATAATAACCGGATTTGGTCCCGTTATACCGGAGACTTTCGTAGTATTGTAACGTTATAACAAAGGTGCTTTTCAGATTACCTGCAGACGCACAACATCCTGTGGTTTGAAGTCGTTGGGAGAACAGCCGCACCAGTCTACGATGTGTTTGTACTGACAGCGGCAACCCAGCTTCCTGTTCCAGTTAGTCACTCGCAGGTTATTGTCGACAAGAGTGTCGCAGTCGTGACTGTTCTCTAGGACCGTGTGAAAGAAGGACTGAAGGAGAGGAAGGATTTAGGTTGCTGCTTTACGGTGACAATAAATAACATAGAACATGAAAGGCAGACAAACAGGAATACAAATACGCCCACAACTACTCACCTCAGCAGGCAGCAGAGTGTACTTGTAGAATCGCCTCAACTCCGACACCAGGAAATCCTGCGTGTACGTCACATAGTTCACAAACTTGCGGGTCAAAGCAAACCAATCGGAGCCGCCATCTACCACAATGCCCTCTGGTATTTGCCGCTCACCAAGGCGCCACATGTGTGAGTCACATTCATGGAAGAGGCGATCTAGACCTTGCTTCTTAATGAACCTGAAAATAAATTATTTTCACTGACAACAGTTTATGGCTTATAGTTGAACTCCGACCTTCCGTTCAATCTCGTAGAACTGTACAGACTCCCCTCCTGGACTTCAAATGCTTACTCTGATTTCACTGCATTGGAAGCTGCAGCAAGAAACAGCGTCATTTCCCGGTCAGTGTCATAACACCGTTTCCCGTTCTTCCAACAGAGTGCTGGATATTGATCACCTGCCGGGTCCAATTGCTATGACTTCCAGTCAGGGGCGTCCCGAGGCCAGGTGTCACCCGGAGCGGATTCCCGGTGATACCCCGCCGTGACGTCATCACGCATGCACGGCCATCTTGATGATGGGCGCCGGCAGAGAGAGATGACGTTTACCCGGCGGGATAAGATATGCCGCTGGGCCCCCTCCTCTCTTGCAACTGTCGGGCTCTCGGTCAGTGACCGATTGCCCTACTTTTCAGAGGGGGGTGACACCAAAATGATTGTCAATCATTTTGGTGTTGCCCCACCAATGGTGTCACTCGGGTGCGGGCCGCACCCCTATTTGTGACGCCACTGCTCCCAACTGAATCTTCACTGCTGCTCCCTCCAAGACACAGCTATCACATGGCTGCCATTAGGAGTGCTCTTTCACTGGGCACACGTGGGTGCATTATTGTTCCTATACTTAATAACACTGTGGATTCCACCTTGGGTCATCCTGCCCTTTCTGTTATTCGTTTCCTCAGCTTCATTCCCCCACTTGTGATGAGGCTGCAAGATTTATTTAATTCTTTACCACTAGCAATGGGACTTATGGGTTTACTCAAAACATATTAGGGCATCTCAGTGGGTTTTGGGCTTGTGCCAATGGCATCAGTTTAAGATCTTTCTGGATCACTTAAAGGTGCATTTGACTTTCTTCGATATATGTGACCTGCTTCAACTAGGTTTTGATTTCCCATAGACTTGCATAGGAATACAAAACCAAAATCCCCATCAACACAGGCCCTTAAATTAACCGAACCAGTGGGGACGAACGTTTCATCTGCTTTTTAAAAGGAGAATCTTACCTAGCATTGTCACGGCCGTGAGATTTAAGGAAGTTCTTTTCTTTGTATTTTGATAGAAAGAGAACCAGCTCCTCATTGGTCCTGTATGCAGAAGATAAAACATTTGAAGTCACGTGACAACTCAAACACAGCCTGGCAAAGTTTAAGTGCAACAGCCATTCACACAAAGAATATTGATGTTAAAGTAATCCACCTTATCTGCCCTTTCACTTAGGAAGCTTCTGTGTAAACATGCCTGGGTTGAAGTACAGCGGACTGCCAAGGCGTGACACTGAACATTGTAGGTGTGCTTAAAGGGAACCTGTCACGGCAGACACCTAGGCTGCAATTACTGACCCATCCTCCTAAAAATGCTATTTGCCTGGTTGCCATACTCTTTCTTGCATCAATACTCTGAGTATGCAGATTAGGACTTCTGAATTCTCTCCAGTTTTCTCTGCATCAGCGGTTCAAAAAGGCAATGATGCTCGAAGACCAGCACAGGCAACTAGAATTTTTTAAAGTCAGTCAGCTCTGTGCGTTCCAATCAAATTCCTCCACATCAAACCACGCCTTTACTGAGCTGGTTTGTGCACCTGAATTCAATAACTAGGAGAGGTGTACACGGAAAAGGTCAGAGCAGTGACTCATCCTTTACTAGATTCCTTTGAAAATGTAATGATAGAGATTGTGCCCAAAGAGATTACTACTGCTGAGCACTGTCTCTATAGGGAACCCATAGTGCTCTAGGAATCCTTTGCCTCGCGTTAAATGTTGTAAAACACATACATTATTTTCTTCTTTAGTGTGTTTTCTAACTCACCTGGTCGGGTAGTCAGTGGCACTTAAGTTGATGAAGAAGTCCCAGGGCCAGTCGGGTATCTCAAGCAGATCCTGCATGCCGCGCAAATACATGGTAAGAAGACTGGCTCCGCCCCAGATAGTGATCATGCGCCACGGGGTAACACGAATGTTTGTAAAATGCTGTGCCAACTGGACAACCTCACCATGAAGGTAATTCGAACGCTGTCAGGAAAATATAAAAATTAGTCAAGGCCCATTCACCATGCTCAATGTGTGTTTAAGCATGTTGCATTGCATGGGCCCATTCCTTATCTCTAGACCCTCAACACATTCACTAAATAAAACTGACTTATTTTTACCGATTGTGGCACACCACAACATATGTGTATTCCCAGCCATGCTGCCCTAAAGTAGCACCGAGACAGAAACCTGATCCTAACCACTTATAAAACTGAACTGGCAAACTAAAATAGACTTTTGATGCCCCCAGGAGGCGTTTGCCCTAATGTGCTAATATGTATAGCATATTATAGCCCCGACCTGCCTTGCAGACTGTCCCCTTCAGCTCTGCGATACCAGTGCTCTCCTCCATTACTAACATTCAATCTCCACCCGGTCTTCTTCCGGGTATGGCATCTTTGGCCTCTTGATTGGCCAGCCCGGGATGATGTAACTCTTCTGTGCACTGGAGTTACTTTATTTCGGCACTGGACCTTGCCAAGTTTTGACTTGAGCTGCGCATGCGTGGCTCAGTGCACATAAATGCCGACAGGCAAGGAGGCAGCAATTATGACAGAAGCAACGTACAGAGAGGGGAATTTATTCTGATGCAGCTGTGCATGGCAAACCAATCAGCCAATCTTAACTGAACAAACCGAGGAGAGAAGCGGATTGGTTGCCATGAACATCAGCTCCAGATTTTGTCTACTTCAGTTTTGATAAATGCATTCTGTCATAAAAACCCTACTTTTGTTTTACCTTTACTTCTGCTGTGGTTGTTTAGAGTAAAAATATGTCCAGGAATTAATCTCTCTCAGAACTCAGCAAATTGCAGTTAACTGCCCAGTAAAAAAAAGGCGCAGGGGTTGCAAATACACAGAACTGCTGCTGCACAGACTTTGCCAAATGGGAGGGAGCCCAATTTGCATATAATTGGATTGCTAATTTGCCTGATAAACGTCCCTCGATTTGTGTTGCCAACATTATCAAACAATGCAATGCGGCTGAGATAGGGAGGGCCAGCTATATCAGCCAAATGAGTTCTATTAAAATGCTGTCATTGTAATAAGTTCCAGGCTGGAGGGAAGCAGAGGTTTAGATTACACTCAGAAAGGAAGATGATTAAAAAAAAAAAGACAGTGCAAGTATGGCAATAATTAGAGTCCAAAGAGAAATCTGGAGGCAGTACAGGAAGCTATAGAACTGTAGGCACCAAAGAGCGGTGTCATCCTCCGGCTATATAGTGTAGCAGGTATGTGTGAAGAGTGGATAAAAGGAGGTCTGTACAAGTCACTGAACCCTCGTTATATACAGCTGTCTCTTACCTGATCTACATGGATGTAGTAAAAGTGGTCTTTGTGGTAAATGGCTTTGATGAGACGTCTCAGTTGCCGCATTGCTCTCCCGTGTACAACAAGCATGTAAACAATACGAAGAGGTTTCTCAGGAGGTGGGGCTCCAACATCTGACTCCTCCCACTGTAAGCCAGAGGTTATTTTACCTGAGAACAAAAACAAACCAAATTCTTGCATTCATCTACTTAAAAAAGGTTACCAGAATGGGGTTTTCCTGCTATGAAGGACCAATGGCAAGATTGCAGCTCATCAATTTGCAAGTCTACACATCTGCCACTGATTACGATGAGGTCCCGAGTTTTTTTTTTCCCTTTTAACCCCTTCATGACTGAGGCCCTTTTTCCATTTTTTGCACCCATGTTATATTCCACATTTTAGGCCTGAAAATTACGTAAAACCCCCCAACATTATATATTTTCTGAATGCCAAGACCCTATAGAATAAAATGGTGGTAGTTGAAAATTTTTATGTTGCGCAATATTAGCGCAACTCCTTATTAAACCCCAAAATTTAGTGACAAATTTAATTAAATGCCCCAAAACACAACAAATTACCCATTTTTTTAATGAAATATAAAAGATGAGGTTACAACGAGTAAAACGATACCCAACATGCCCAGTTTACAGATTGCGTGCGACCGTGAAACGGCGAAAAACTGCAGTATATTGAAGAGATCAAGGTACAAAGTCACGTTATGCAAGGTCATACAGTGCAAGAGATTTGAGTAATTACAGATGAACACCTAACAATGTTATCATCGAACATGCAGGACGCAAGCACAATATATACGGATATACTAGTACTGGCTTCATCACATTACAGGTGGGAACATGGAGTGGGAGTCTGAAGGTCACAGGAGTTGAGGCTAGAGATCAACTCACCCAAAATGTTGTCCATAAGGCTGGGTTCACACCTAGGCATATTGAATATGCGCGTTTGTCGCGCGTTTCTACCGCGATTCGCGGTAAAAAAACGCGCGTCAAACACGCGTTTCCGTGGGCTACTTGGCTGTATCCCAATGGAAACGCGAGACCAAAACGCCCCAAAGAAGTACATGTACTTCTTTGGGCGTAGGCCGCTTTGTAGCGCGTTCAGACGGGCTGAAATACGCCCAGGTGTGAACCATACCCATGGGAAACAATGGGATTTCTGTGTTTGAGCGTTTTGCAGAGCGTTCGAACCCGCTACACAACGCCCAGGTGTGAACCAGGCCTTAAGTTAAAGGGACAACCCCCGTGTTCATTGGTTAGTCTATAGAGAGGCAAAACGGAATGCATCCTGGGAAGGTTACATCAGCAGAGCATAGCTTGGAAATTTCATGAGATCTCAGAGAAAGGCATTTTCCTCCCCTGAGATGGTGCATGGTCACATGTCCTAGTCACATGTGCCAGAGTTCCAGGAAGTAAAGGGAGATCTAGTAGCCTGCCCGTAGTTAAAATGGTCATATTAGACAGTGTGATACATTCAGTTTATAAATAAAGCAAAAAAGAAAAAAAAAAAAAAAAGTGAAAAGCGAGGCCGTCCAGCAGCCCCAAACACTGACCTGTGGTTTGGCAATAACGGGGTAAACTCTTGGGCATGAGCTGCCCGAGCTGGTGCAGACAGACCATGTTGGAGATTTCCTGCTGACACTTCTTGGTGGTGGCTCTGGAGAGAGCGGACAGGGCGTCTTTCCCTTTGACGTCACACATTGGGGTGAAGACTCCATCCTTGGGGTGAGGTCCCTCTACGCTGCCCGTGTCGCTGTCTCTGGTCAGGTTGTGCCAGGTTTCCTGGGGGACATGGAGACGCGTGCTCAGCTTGGACCTCGGATTAGCCTCTCTCGCCGTTCTGGCTGCCTCGCTGCCTGACCTCCCTGCCTTTCCTCTTGGCCTCCAAGACCTGCGCCCTGCAGAATTACCAGGGTCCTTGGAGTGCTCCGTTTTATCTGAGCTTCTACTTTTCCTCTGCTGAATGTTCTGCAATACAAAAATCAAGATGCAAAAAAAAAAAAAAAAAAAAGGAGAAGAAGCAGATTAGCAATAGAAGGAGAAAAAAAGTCCAACCGACTCCTTTCTAAAGGTGAATCAGAAGCCAAAAACTTGAATGGTTAGGATTATAGTTGCTGTTTATGTCCCCCATCGGGGGTTAGGGTGCACGGACGCCTGTGGCCATACAATGTACTGTAAATCCAGGCATATTTCAGCCTCCAGGGAGCTGACGAGAGAGAGAGAGAGCTGACGAGAGAGAGAGAGAGCTGACGAGAGAGAGAGAGAGCTGACGAGAGAGAGAGAGAGCTGACGAGAGAGAGAGAGAGCTGACGAGAGAGAGAGAGAGCTGACGAGAGAGAGAGAGAGCTGACGAGAGAGAGAGAGAGCTGACGAGAGAGAGAGAGAGCTGACGAGAGAGAGAGAGAGCTGACGAGAGAGAGAGAGAGCTGACGAGAGAGAGAGAGAGCTGACGAGAGAGAGAGAGAGCTGACGAGAGAGAGAGAGAGCTGACGAGAGAGAGAGAGAGCTGACGAGAGAGAGAGAGAGCTGACGAGAGAGAGAGAGAGCTGACGAGAGAGAGAGAGAGCTGACGAGAGAGAGAGAGAGAGACCCTCGTCCCGGTGACCCTTGTCAGCTCCCTGGCGGCAGAAATATGCCTGGATAGATATATCTATAGATAGATATATCTTATACACACACATACACATATTTGTAAGCTTTGGCTTTAGATACTCAGAGATCTATAAACAGGCTCCCCAGACACCATTCGCACACCATTACAGCCACTAGACGGAGCAGAAGAACATAGAATTTTCCTATGCTCATCGGCACCACCATCTAGCGGCTGTAATGCCGCGCGAATGATGTTCACCCAGCTATATGCGGGCGGGACTAGGGACTAGGCGCCTAAGTCCAAGTGTCCCAGACCCCAGTTCATTATAGAAAAAGAAAGGACTGTCCTTTCTTGGTCAACCACATACATTACAAGGATTGTCTTTTCTTCACTGCAGAGTCTGACCTATGCACATGGATTTCACTCACTTCCCGCACCCATTTCTCACTTCCTGTTAGCGTCAGATGATCAGTCCCAACGTTGCAAAAAAAAACACAAAACTTGCCAGAGAGCCACTGATCCGATTACTGGAGAAGGAAGTGACCTTTCTGGGGATGTCTTACACTCAGTGTACAATGACAATGGAAAATGAGGTTGGACTGGATGGACCGGAGTCTTTTTTTCCAACCTTATCTACTATGTAACACTCATATCACACCAGGAAGAAATAGAATAGTATTAGTAATGGTAAAAACAATGATAATAATGGTAATATTAACCACCTCCCAGCTTCCTGGATGTAACAGGCTGTAAAAAGACCTCCTGTTGGCCCCACAATGCCTGTTTACATACAAGTGCTATAGAGGCGGCGGATCGCCTGTACCGCGTTTCCCCGAAAATAAGACACTGTCTTATATATTTTTTTCCAAGGAAAAAAGACACTAGGTCTTATTTCCGGGGGATGTCTTATATTTACCTGGCTGCAGCAGTCCGCTCTGATGCCGTCCACTTCGACCCCACTGGCTACACTGTGCCTGCTGGGAAATGTAGTCTTCAGCGGCAGCCGAGGTGTGTGTGTGTGTGTGTGTGTGTGTGTGTGTTTTGCGGCCGGTCTTCACATGTTAAATTCTATTATATGTGCAGCTACTCCGAAAGTAAGACCTAGCGGATCTCTGTAATATAAGACCTACCACTGAACTAGGTCTTATTTTCGGGGTAGGTCTTATATTACAGAAATCCCTGAAGATAGCGCCAGGTCTTATTTTCGGGGTAGGTCTTACTTTCGGCCAAACACGGTATAACGTGCCGGTATGTGCTGCTGCTGTCTCTCTCTCCTCCCCCCCTGGTTCCGAGGTCCGCAATGCGAGCCCAAGACCAGCATGGTGGCTCTGACATGAGATCAGAGGAAGATCGATACACAATCTCCCTTCGCTCCCCTCTCCGCTGTCAGAATGCAGAAGTGATGTATATTACATGACTTCCACATTCTGCGGTCACTCTCCAGCTTCAGAAGCTGATGAAACTGATCTTTGCTTTATCAGCTTCTTTGGGGGTCCCTAGGTGACATAAGGGGTCTTGGAGATGTCTCCGTAAAGAGGACCTATCGCATATCTTTGCCATCACATAGGGGGGTTTCTTAGCGCCCTATGTGAGAGCAATAAAGTTAAGTGGAAACAAAAATTAGGAAAAAATAAAAGCTGCACAAAAATAAAAATTAAAGTCACACATGAAAAAGAACAAATGTATGTCCCCACCAATACATACACGTGTTCAAACATGTGAAAAAGACGATTGTGCCCATTACGCCGCACATTTTACATATCGTCGCGAACGTTGCAGTGAGAGCAATAATTCCAGGGCCATCAATCACTGATAACACTAAACTGATGAGCAGTGAAAACTTTTAAAAAGGAGAACTATGAGGCGAGTGCTTTTCACTCACCTCATAGTTCTAGCCGACCTGTGACCATGAGACTGTCACAGGTCGGCTCAGTAGATCGGGAGGTGAGCGAACACATACCGGCGTTCGCTCACCTCTTGATCCTGTCACGGCTCTCTGTCGTGACAGAGGAGGGGCTGGATTCCCCCAGCGCTGACTGGCGGAACGGACGGGGGAGGGGGCGGGTACAGCTGGCTCTGCCTCTAGATAGGCAGAGTCAGCTGTCAGTCACACAGCTGGGCGGATCCCGACACAATTGTCAGGATCTGCTTCAGCGTCTCAGTATACCGCGAGCTACAGCTCGCGGTATACTAAGCCTAGGGTGATGGGAGGACGCTAGTTCGTGTCCTCCTGTTACCCTAAGGAGAACTATGGGGAAAAGACTTAACCCCTTAGTTCTCCTTTAAAGCGTCGCCCATGGAAAATTTTGGGTATGGATTTTTTTTTTTGCGATTTCGTGGGTGTGCGCAATTTTAAAGCTCGACATGTTTGGTGTCTATTTACCCGAGGTGACCCCCGACTTTTATATTTTACCAATAAATTGGGTAATAATAAATGTTTTATAACATAATATAAAAAACGTTTTTCAGAATCAAAATTTCAGTAGTTTTTACCTTAATATAGTAAAAAATAAAAACCCGCAGTGGTGATTACATACCACCAAAATAAAGCTCTACGTGTCCCCAAAAAAATGGTATAAAATGTATTTCAGTACAGGGTTGCATGACGGAATAAATGTCAAAGTACCTCAGCGCTGAATACTGAAAAATCGCCTGACCAGGAAGGGGGTGTAAACACCGCGGTCACCAAGTGGTTAATAAACAAAAAATTATAAAAAATAAAATATTAAATAACAATGTTTTTCTTTTGTTCAAACACATGCACTGGACATTTCCATTCGATGTGAATGGCACCCTATAGCACGGTGAGCAGAACGCACATGCCATGTGTTGCAGTACGTTGCTATTTTAAGGGTGACCCGTGGATTTTTGCACATTGGCAACCCATTCAATTCCCAATTATTGGCCTGCCTTACTGAAAACACATGATACATGCGTTGCTTTACGCACCGCAGCGGTTCGCTTTAGTGTGAATGGGCCCTAAAAAGGTGGTGTTGTCCTCACTTTGAACTCATTGCACTAAGCACGTATCATTTGCTGCTCCAGTGACCCCATTTTCTGGTCAGGAAGTGAGAGATCTACTTCATGGTGGACACAGATGGGTGACAACACCTGAGGCTGGAGTCAGGCTGACCCTATAGATAACATGATATATCAGTAACCATATCCACACAGATGTACTGGGGAAGAACTACGACTCCCATGCTGTCTCTGCCTAGCCCTGGCACGCTGCGACTTGTGGTCCCCCTTCTTTTCCCCTCGCCCAGTCAGGAAAGGGCACTTACCCCGTCAGCCTCATCCTCCTCCAGGGCGCTGAAGCTCCACACCACCAGGCCCTGGACCAACAGCAGAGCCAGGGCGGCGGCGGCTAGGTACTTGTAGCGGCGACCGAGCTTTATGACCCGGGCACTGGGCGCCATCCTCCAGCCCCGAGCTCTCACCGTCTGCCGTGTGGCCAGGACTCTCCAGCACTGCGCGCCCACAGCCAGAGCATTCCTATACCCAGGCTTGGAACACCGCTCGCCCACAACAAATATGGCCGCCGCCGCCTGCCAAAATCCGGTGACGGGTCAGCACTTCGACACAGCCTCTTCCGGTTAGCGTGCGGAGCCCAGGAGGGCGTTCGCGGTTGCCTGGCAACGATTGAATTAGCCTCCTACGCCCAAATTCAATACCCATTAAGCCTCATTCACACTGCCTATAATACACATAGATGCACGCAGCATTTTTTTGCTATATGCAGCGTATGCAAATAAATGGCTCCATACACATAGCTGCGTATGAAGCCGTATTTTTCCGATGCACACAAAAAATGGAATTGAGATGCGTCCAGGCTCGGAATTTCCGTGTGCGCACATATACACATATATGCATGCATATACGCACGTACGGTACATTAAAGTTTTTATTAAAAATAATGCATTCTGGGATTGTATACAGTTCACGCGTATACGTGCAAATATGCGCATACATGCATTTACAAATATGCGTACAATTTTGCTATTGTGTTGTGTGTGAATGAGGCCTTAGGGGTCTGCTGTGTTCAGTATAGCAGGGCAAAGTCAACAGAAGAGGTTAGGAAGACATGGTGGAAGTAGAATACACAGACGAAAGAAGGGTGGCCATTAATGTCCCAGTGTAGGCAACCATGGGCCACTACAGCTACCCATAGATGTGAGATGCTAGTCACCTGATCATCTTAGTCTATGCAAGGCATACGCACAACTAGGGTTGTTGTACGGCTGCTTAAAATGGGACTTGTCACCCATGAAAAGAGATCTTAAGTCCAGAAAAAGTGTCACCAGGATAAGAGACGAGGGCACGGGGGTCACCGGTAAGGATAAGCCTGCGTTCAGACCAGGTCTGGATAGGAGACACAGTGCCACTGTGCATTCCCCGCCCTGCGGCTGCATGTAAACAAAGGGGCGGGATTCTAATGACATCATTGAAACTATAGGGCCACATGGCTCTGTTAGGCCAATGTCAATGACAAAATGCAGCCAATTACAGTCAATAATCTCACCAGCAACCTTTGTTTACATGCGGCTGCAAGGAATTCTCCAGCTACAGCTGATTGGGCCAGCACTGTTGGCTTCCTTCTGGGTTTGATCCAAACCCAGGCTCATCCATAGTCACCAGGACAGAAAAGCACAGACAGCAATAAATGCCATTTTTTATTTAATTCAAACTCCCGTGTCATAAAAATCCAACGTCTTTCAAGGGTTCAAACCCCCCTTCATCAGGACTTAGTACTGATGAACAAAGTGTGTACTAGTCTGCCATTTGTACGATTGTTCCACAGCTGATCGTACGATGTAAAGGTGGATGTGAGAGACTAGGAGTCTACTGACCTCTCGATCACATTATGCAGTGAGTGGGGATGTAATGACGCCACCACTGTTATCAATCATGAACAATGGGGAAGTTACAAGACTGGTGAACCAGGGACGAAACAGGAACAATGGCCACTAATCTCCCAACAGGTAATAAAGGAAACTGATATCATTATCTGGTAGGTTTCTACAAGCTATTTCACAATTCTATAGCCAGTATAGGCAACAAATGTTATGTGAGTATACATCAGCATTTCTCAACCAGGGTTCCGTGAAACCTTGGGGTTCCTCCAGAGCTTGACCTGGGTTCCTTGAGCAGCGAACAATATCTCCCTCTCAGATAATCACCAACACCAATAATCTATTTATCTCTCTGTAAGAGGACCATTCCTTCCACTTACCATCAATGTAATAGAGCCCTGCTCCTACTGGCCACCAGTATAAAGTGACACCTCCCAATGACAACCAATGTAAGGCAATCCTCCTCTGGCTACCAAAGTAAAAGGGAATGCAGTTCACTGACCACCAGTGTAACAGGGCACCTTTCCCACTGATCACCAATGTTACGGGGTCCTACACTGGCCACCAATATTTGGGGGCATTTCTTCACTGACCACATTACAGTATTTACAAAAAGCTCAGGCTCCATCTATAGCCCAATACATAACCTAGCTAAAGACTGCTGAAAGTTCCGAGCCATTGGTGGTACTGTCAGCATCACCCAGCTCGATAAAACTCAATTGAAGTGGGTGTAAAATTGTCGCCTGAACAGTGAATGCATCCTATCAGATGCAGCCACAGTTCTGGCATTCAGGCAACCGTGGTTGTCTGAATGTAATGGCCAGCAGTGCAGATTCCTCCATTCTCCATCTACACTGTTTAGCATGGACGGGGAATCTTGTAGTTTTCTCTTGTTCAGTTGAATATACATTTCACAGATGTGTATTATATATGGTGACCAGAATCCAGGGTCCACATTCTTTTGAGCAATATATATATTCCTTGTTGGAAATACAACAACATATGCTAATATGAACTGATTGTATTACTGACATTGTGATGTACTGTTATGTCTTTTGAACTGTAGATGGCACTGTGGTGCAATGTTGGCATCTATGCTTGTGCATACTTGTCTATGATCTATACAGGAAGTTCTGTATGCTGTATTCTGATGTAATGTCCTCATAAGCAAGCAAATCTTAATTCAGCATTCCCCAAGGTATCAGTGCTTCATCTAAACACATAACCAACAGGTAATGGGCCCAGGCACTAAACAGAATACAAGACATCCCAACCTGAAAAAAAAAATGTTTAGGGATCTGCCTAAACAGGGAGGTACCATCCCCCCCCCATCTGCAGGAGGGGGGGGGGGAGCACCTATTAGAAATTATGGCAGATAGCACAGGGGCTAATGCTATTCCCCTGCTATCTGCTCTTTCGGCCACCGTCCGAATAAAAAAAAAACAACAGGCAGCAGGGGAATGAATAGCTAGGCTGCTATTGGCCATTTCAAATTGCAATAGCAGGCTGGTGATTGCACCCGCTGGGAAGACATGCTCATCAGTTTATGGGTTATGTGTGTATTGGTGTGTGTAATAGCTAGGCTGCTATTGGCCATTTCAAATTGCAATAGCAGGCTGGTGATTGCACCCGCTGGGAAGACATGCTCATCAGTTTATGGGTTATGTGTGTATTGGTGTTTAGTTATTTTTTAAGAATGTTATACTGTGTAATCTGTTTATCAAAAGAATGTCAGCACCACTCCTCTCTGTTAGCTCTGTTTGTATTCCCAAGGAGCTCAGGACAATGACATTCTCATCCTGAGTACCAGGGTCCGTCACACCCGCCCACTGCTGCTGTGCTGAGAACATCTGCCTCCCATGACCCCACATCCCTGGCCAAAGGATCGTCACAGTTTCCTTTGAGAGAAGCTGAATGTCATATAGCAACGCATATGCTGTTGAGAAGGGATGTTGGAAATGCAACAACATTATGCTAATAAGCACTTGTTGTATTACTGACATTCTGATGTACTGTTATGTTTTTTGAGCTGTAGATGGCGCTGTGGTGCAATGTTGGCCCCTATGCTTGTGCATACTTATCTATGATATACACAGGAAGTTCTGTATGCTTATTAATGCTGTATTCTGATATAATGTCCTCATAAGCAAGTAAAACTTAATTCAGCATTCCCCAAGATGTCAGTGCTTCATCTAAACACATAACCAACAATCCTCACCCAAGGCAATCCATAATTTACTGCACTCTACGTCTGTAAATTGCTGTTATGCTAAGGTTGCCACCTTTTTATCTAGCCAAACCCGAACACTTACGTGACACCTGGACATTTTTATCGGAGAATGAGTCGTGGCTTATTCATATGTAAATAGTGATGCCCATTCATATGTAAATATCACAGTTGAGACTATTTTCAGTGGGGGGACAGTAGCCCCTATCTTAATTTTGGTTTGCCTGTCTGCCTGACATCTTGTGTCCGGGTTTCTGCTGCCATGAAACAGCATTCAAAACCCAAACTGTCCGGGTGAATCCTGGGCAGGTGGCAACCCCATGTTATGCGATATATAAAGGGCCCAACCCTGCAAACTTTGAAACTGTCAGATAACTTGTGGCAGGTATATGTCATCTAGTTATTGATTTTATTGTACTACAGTGCCATCCAATGGTGGTCAGGAAAACAGCCAATAGGCACGCTGTGCAGAGTCTGTGCTTGTAGTGATTTATAACAATTATTATTGGAGAACATGGGGTGCAGGAAAGGTTGCTACAGTCCAAGTAGGGTACATTTTATTGGAAACATCTGCAAACAGAGGACAACAACACTAGCAAAATATATCCTTTTGCAGAAAGTGTAAAGAAATTGCACTTCATGCTATGCTATGAGAAACTTGGGGTACATGTAGACCTAGGTTAGCCAAGCTTCAGCTCTCCAGCTGTGGTGAAACTGCAAATTCCATCATGCACCTGCCTCTGGGATTTATGCCTGTGGTTGTCCGAATATTGCAATGCAATGGGATTTGTAGTTTCACCACAGCTGGAGGGCCGAAATTTGGCTAGCCCTGATTTATTGTAGACGGTATATTTACCTTTTTTGTATCTACCATATCCTGAAACCCCCAAGACCTCCACTATGGTTCTGGTGGTGGGGGAATGCTGGTTAAAAAAGTTCAGTTGTGGTCAGAGCCTGAGGCATTTGCATCATGCGGCATCTCACTGGGGCGCACCCGGGGGGAGGGGGGGGCACAGTGTCCCAGGTTGTTCGTGCCCCAAGTCCCAGGCCACATTGTCCCAGGTGCTTTTAGCAACTTGTGACACTCTGTCTGTTGTCCTTCCCAACTCGCTGACGTCACCGGTTGCCTGGAGCTGAGCAGGATGCTCCAGCTTGCGTTCCGCCAAGCTCCTGGCAACCAGTGAAGTCAGTGAGCTGGGAAGCACAATAGACAGAGCCGCTGACAGTCAGGTCCAGCGCCTGAACCCCCCCTTCCCGACAAATCAGCACAACAACCACACAACGACATAGGGACCATTACCTGCCAGCAACACCCCCCTAGAATGACAGCAAATCGCCTCAGGCGGCGAATACCTTAGGGACATCCCTGTCTAAGTAAGTGTGTACCACCTACTATGGTATACACAGCACCTTCTATGTGGGCATATATGCAAATTTTCCAAACCAAAAAGATGTGCAGGGCAACTTCACAGGGTAA